GCTTACCCGGAACTCTCCTTACAAAACAAAAAGTCGGGTGGAAAAAAGCACCCCACCCCTCCCCTAAAAAAAATAGAATTGATATCTGGGTCACTGCCCATCGCTCAGCTCGCGCTGGAATAGACGGTAGCCCCTTTGTGGGTGGTTAGAGCGTTGCCTTACTACCGTTTTGACTGTACATCCCTACAAAATGTATCGCTCACAGGTTTGTAGGTTGGCCAAATGGACAAAACAATTAACTTTAGGAGGAAGGGGGGAGCGGGAAAATCGACTGAAGTTAGAATTGCAAACAAAACGTAGTGGCTATTCAAAATCGTAGTCAACGACCGGTCCAGAGTCATTCATCCCCATGACGTCAGGTTGGCACCTGCTGGACAAGCGCAGGACAGCCCCACCGCCAGGACGGCCTACACCGGACCGTGATAAAACCAGAGGAGGTGGCACTTCCGTATCTGCAGGCTGGCCTGGGCCGCCCGGGGGGCACCCCCTCCGCCTCTCCATCCCGCCACGCCCCAGTGCCGCAGCCCCACGCGGGGCCGCAGTGTATCGATCCCCTGGTTCCGGTGGCCGGCGCCAGGGGCCGCCACGCGCCACGGGGCCGCCGCCGCCCGCCGCGAGGCAAGCTTCGGTGGGGCAGCGGCCAGGGGTGCCAACCCCAGGGACCCACAACGCCCCGTCCCCGCACGGCTCTAGGACGAGCCCCTCGTGTCCGTCGGGTTGGCAGCGCCTGATCACAGGTGGTGACGGGGAGGGTCGCAACCCCTCCCCCCGAGACTGGCCTCTGTACACAGCAGCATAGCCTACCAGGAGCCGAATTGGAAAATACGCATCCGTACGTGCTGGTACGTGCTAGCACGTGTGCCTAAGTGCGTGCGAGTCACGTGCAGGATCAGTTCGGACCACTGGTTGTCCCAACAACTATGAGAGCGCCCATCGAAAGTGCGCGCAGATTTATACTTCCTGTCAAAAAATAGTTCAGCCTACCCTCCAAAACGGGGTTAAAAAAGGGGTCAAAAACGGCGCTGAGTTCAGGTAGGCAGCACCGGTCATTTATCGAATTTTGTGCATAAAAATATTTGCAGGATTCAGCGACAATCTAGCTTAACAGGACCTTGAGCATCATAACCTGTCGTTTGTTTGTTTTGAGGTTCCAGAGAACATTGCAAGGTTGGCTGCACTGTCTTGTTTTTATTTGTATACTATTGAAAGCAGGACTATAGTTTTCCAATTTTTTAAGCCAGTTAGTTGCCCATATTTCAGACATGCATGCTCATTCCAGACAAATTTGTCTTTGGCCTTCGCGGGGCGCACAGATCCAGTAATTTGTTTGATATTTTCAAATAACGGCTAAATAGGTGCCCTCTATCGAACAAGACATGTGTGGATCTATATGAACTATTAAGAACAGTTACCTTTAAAAGTCAAAAACTGCAGGGCTAAAATACGAGACTAAAATAATTGTTCATCTTAAGATGGTTGGAGCCGTGACTGCTTGTCGTTTAACTCATACACGGAGAAAAGGATTTGCTCCCACAACTAACGATTTTGTAAACATAGACATATCAAATAATTTTTAGTTGCAGGAACAAAGAAATTGCTTCACCAGAATAAAATCTCGATGATTCCCCATGGAAGCAGAGGGTTTCAAGGCAGATTCTGGGATTTCAAGGGTTGATTGGAATTATCCACCCGTCCTTGAAATTCAGAAATTAACATTGAAATCCAAGAAAATGTTTTTACCGTACAACCAGAAAACTGTCCGGCGTATTACAACCACCACTATGAAAAAATGTTCGGACATGTACGATATATTTCTTAATTTGCCATTTACAAAACGAGTCGTACATGTAGAAGCTCCCAATCTCGCTCGTTATTCGATACCAGGACGAAACGCAGGGCTTGTAAATTTAACAATTTTAAATTGTAATTGTACGGCTTCCTTCATGGAAAATTTTCCTGTATATCCGGTACAATTTTTTACAGTGACCATGTATGTCAGGGCTACACAACACACATAGCAGTATTGCACTCTGTTAAAACCTTACGAAGAAAAATGCCAAATCCTTCGTAGGTACGATGGATTTTGCATTTTGCTTAAGGTTTTAGTTGTGTGCGGCTTTGCTTCCTTTAGGGGCCATGGCGCCATACCGGGCGAGCTATGTACTCGACAAAACAGCCTATGGGTGATTCCGCCAAAATGGCACGGGTCGGTATCCGTGAAAACGTTTCTCGATCATCTCAAAAATAGTGTTTGTCATGCTTCGCTGAGGTGATTTAACCGCGTCAGATGATTACTTGTGCTCTACTTTAACTATTTTAATTAACAACAGCTACGGAGAATTAGTATTTCCTCAATGATTGGCTATAAACTCACTTTTGTACCCTTCGTCACACCCTCACCTAATTTCAGTGTTTTCTTCAATACCAAATGATGCCAAGGGTATTTCACTGCTCGAGATGTTCACTTTTTTATGATTTTCACTATTTCAATCTACAACAGCTACACTGTTAGAAAAAAATGTGATTTTACTACACTTTTACCATACGAAGAGATCTGAAAATCACAATACTTTTTTGGAAACAAAAAACCCAACACTTCTTTGTACTTTCCCAGAATATCTACGTTTTTTTTTCTTTTCCAACATTCCTTTGTGAACACTCTACAAAGAACCTTCGTTTTCCTCCATGGAATCTACGGAATTAAGAAACTACAACATGTCTCCGTTAAATTCTAGAAAAAATTGTAATTTTTAATGGGTCGGTTTAATTTACATCAATAGCAAATACAATAGGCTATTATTTCTTGTATCTGCATCCCAGTTGACAAAACTGTTTCAACATCACACCATTCAGTTTTAAGATGTAAAGAAAACGATACTTTGTTGGGAATTTGGAAATGTTCTCTGGAAATTTGAAACCAACGGTTTGTTGTAAATTCACAAAGTTTCTTTGTAGACTATCGTTTACTGATAAATGTCTTATATCCTTAAAATTTAACAAAGAGTTTTGGAAACTTTTTTCACGTAGAATTCTTCGTGAAGTTCTGACCTTTTTTTTAACAGTGTACACACTTTAAGTATTTCGGCCAAAAAATGTCTTAAACTGTCGCCTTTGTCACGCAATCCCAGAAGCGCCACTGCATTGAAAGCGCACAAATGCACATCAAAGGTAACATATTAGTGACGCATTAAATGCACGTAGTGTGCACTAAATGCGCATTAAATGTTGTAATGCGCTTTAAACGCGTCACCACTGTCACCTTTTATGTCCATCTCTACGCCCCTTTAATGCGTTTGGCGCTACAGGAAAGGAAGTTCTTTGCCAAACTTTTCTTCTTATTTGCAGCCATGCCTGCCATACCCAGCTCTACGCCCAACCCGCCCAAGGGTACGACCTCCGTACCCAGGGTGCGGGTGTTCGTCCAGCAACAGCAACCCGCGGCTCAGCATTATGGGTCATTCAGTGAGTACCAAATTTGCTTATTTTTTCAACAATAGGCAAGCCTATAGGCAAGAGACTAGGGCTTGCTATGGGTGCCGCAACAAATAAGAAAAATGAAAATAAATACCTTTCAGTGAAGCCCCAACCTCCGCACATCCTCTTCAATCTAGGAACGGAGGAAGGAGGTGGCGGTAGTGGCGGTGTCGGTGCCATCACTGCGGCCCTGGACGGAAGCTCGCGGGTGCATGGCGCCGGCGACGTGGTCGTGTCCCTCATCCTGGTGTGCGTCATCTTTTTCGTAACGTTTATGGGATCCTTTTTCTGGAGAAAGTACAGAAAAATCCACTACATGAGGTGAGCATAATCATTGAGCTATACATTTTTGTCCCCATTTTTTTCCCCCATTTTTTTTCCCCATTTTTGATCCCAAACCAGACAACAGTTTGCTATATTGAATTTGGGCTTTTGGGGTCCCCGGGTGAACTCTCGGAGGTGTTCAGGTAGAGTGAAGATTAGTTTTATTAGATTAGTGTTTCGCGGTAATCGACTAACGGTCCCCTTTTAAAATCTCTACGGAGAGGGTTCTCCCAGAGCACGCAACTCGAACAAATTTGGTCTAAATACCTTCAGATAAACAAAAACAGCCATGTTTTTCTTCAAACGAAACGAACCGAACTAACAGTGTCATGTTCAAATTCGATCCGATCACGAACAATACCAGGTGTCTGGATTCACGCCGTTCACTATTGTACTATGCGACCCGCCCGCACGACTCCATCGCGGTCCGCGAGTCACCCCGCCGCGGACCCGCGAGTAACCCCTGCGGACTCACGGGAACCAGCGGGAAACAGCGAACAACCTCTTTGTACGCCCCTGGGCGGTGGCTGCAGCAACAGTGGAGGAGCAATGCGTTGGCGCTTGGAGCCGGTCCCCTGCGACTGGTGGGTATGCAGTCCCGGATGGAGCCGTGCGGGCGGGTTGCATAGTGCAAAAGTGCGCGGCGTGAATCAGCCACCTGGTACAATTTTGATTTGCTTAGGATTTATAACAATTATCCATACTGGTTTACAATAGTTACTTCATCAACTTCTTTACCCTCGCGAAGTTTTT